ACCTCAGGAAGTCTCTATCTTCTTCCTTCACACTGAAATTGATGGAACATCTTTTCAATGTCACACATGACTGCTATGGGATACTTTCTGAATCTACAGAGTACTCCAGGTACAGTGTTTGTAAGATCTGGTCCTTTTAGTAGATGATCGTTCAATGCAACATCATTGTACCTTGCTGAGCAATCAAAAAACTACTCTGATCTTATCCGGTTTCTTTGGGTGATAGACACCTTGATGTGGGATGTACCAATACTTCTCCATTTTTAGGCTGACCATCAACTTTCTCTGCGTGCCCTTCTTTGAGGATTTCTTTCATGAAATTTCAAATAATCGTCTTTGAGTTTGGGATCTCTTCCCATCCTTTTCTTTAAGCTTTTCAATCTTGCCAGGGCAAGATCTCTGTTATTTGGCAGATGAGGTCGTTCTCTAAAAGGTAGGGGCATTTCAAGATGACCTTGTTGATTTTGCTGAATATTATCTTCTAGAACTTGTACAAACTTTTATGTCCTCTTGGGATACACTCTTTTCATTACAACTTACGTCTGCAAAGTAGGATTCTAGGATTTTGAGTACTTTCGCTGGACTTACAGTTGGTAACTCTTGGACAGATATTCTATGACACAATCCTGTCACCTGTCCTGAATCTGCAATCTGTCGTTTTCCTCCAACAACACCCCATCCTAGATCAGTTTGGACTGTGTAGGGTTCACCCTTTCCTCCTGCGATTATCTTTCGTGGCACCAACGCCTCGGGACAGTCATAGCCTATAAACAGTCCAACACCAAATTCCTTCAGCGGGGACATTTCATGAGATATGACAGATAGGTGTTCCCATTTGTTGGCTGTTTCACAGGTAGGTATGCGATCTCGATCTAGAGGTATGTCGTCTTTTGTATAAGCTGGAGGTAGATCTAATATGCAGTTTGAGTGGAGTCCTCTAACTCTCAGTCCTTTGACTCTTTGACTGTTCACCAATGTGTCTCTTCCTGTCATTGTGGTGAGTTTGAGTTTCACTGGTTCTGTGGCCACTTGTAATTTCTTGCAGATTTCTTGATCAATGAAGGTGACGTCACTCTGGGCATCAAGTAGCGCATAGGCATATACCTTCTTGTTTCTTCCTTTTAGGATTTGAAATACACACTGGTACAACCATTGACGTGCCATTGATTTCTCTTTCTCTCACTCTGCAAGAGAATACTGTCGCTTTATTTTCTTCCTCAGTGTTCTTGGGAATTAAGGACTTCTCTTTCTTTGGACGTTCTTCATGTAGTGGGGTAGGATGACGTCCTTTACACAAACGCTGCAAGTGGCCTTTTTCTTGCATTCTTTAGTAATATGGGCCTTTTCTTAAACATCCAAAACACAGCTGATTATCAAACACAAACTTCTTCTTTTCATCTGGAGACCTTTCCTTCAGTTGTTGGCACTTATGTATGGAGTGATTCTCTTCACAGAACATACACTTGAAGGTAGTCTGAAGACTTGTCGGTACAAACTCTTTACTGATCCCAGTAATGACGTTGAACTTGCTCTCATGGGCATCTGGACCTTTAGTAGCTGTGTTGGTTGCAAAGCTAATTGCTCTTGCGCGTCTTATTTCTCTTGTAGCCCTTTCTTCTAAGGGTTTTAAGATATAAGATGCTGTTACTGGATTACACGCTATTCGTGCTTCCTTATTGACAAATTCAGAGAACTCTTTGAAACTGGGAAGTTTTTGCCGTGATCTAACTGTTCAGTCACATAGCGATTCCATCCAGAAGCCACTTGTTCTGGTAGCTTGGCTAGCATCCTGTGGTTTTCTAGATAGTCGTTCAATACTTCTAGTCCTTGAACATGTGGGATAGCATTGCTGCATGCTTGCAGGAAGTCGCCATACTCTTGGAGCTTGAAGTGTGTTCTTTAGGACCTATTTTGGGCCAGTTTATCAACTTCTCTCTGAAAGCTCTTTGCACTAAGAAAGGATGACCATATCTTGCATTTAATTTTTCCCAAGCTTGCTTGTAGGTTTCTTCATCTTTCCTATAGAAGTTACCTTCAAGAACCTTTTTTGCTTCTCCGCCAGTATACCGCTGGAGGTAGAAATAACTTGTCCACTGGACGGGAGCAATTATGTTCAATGATCATTTCAAAACTTGCCTTCCATTCTATAAACTTCAGTACGTCTCCGGAAAATATAGTAGGTTCCGGAACAGGAAGTCTAGTGAGAAAGCTTCTCTGAGGTTTCGCCGGGTCAGCAGTTGCAGCATTCTCGTGACCACTGCCATGACATATGGGAGTTCAATAATCTGGTTTTTTTTTTTTCTTGGTACCGAATCAGGCGAGTCTCTCTTCTTTTCTCTCTGAGCAGGGATGGAAGGACTGTGACTTATTTCTTCACTACATGCTGGAGATTTCCTTCCATTTTCCTGGGCGTAAGGAAGATCGTAAGCAGTCAGCTTCTCCACTTAGTACTGATTTGGATCTATGACTACCCTGATTCGTATCCTCTTCGTGCACTCTGAGTCTTGCTTCTATAATCTTAACTTCCTTCTGCCTTTCCAGACTTTTCATTTCAGCTTCCATTTTATGGCGCTGAGCCTCCATTTTATGGTGCTGAGCTTCCATTTCCTGGCGCTGAGCTTCCATTTCCTGGCGCTGAGCCTCAATGGCAGATTCCATCTCTACTTCTGCTCGTTTGGCAGCGAGTTGTTCAGCTAATTCCTTTCTTTTGGCTGACGTACTTGAGAACTCTGTTATGTGGCTGGCGCTTCTGCTAGTGATGGAAGTCACACTTGAGATTGTGGTTCCTCCTAAGGACCTAGCATAGTCTTTCATGAAGAGCTCATTCATTCCCTTTCGGGCCTTGACTTCATCATAATTTGCTGCAGATGATAGTTCTCTCATAAGCTTCACTAAATCCCTAGTGACTGCGTTACATGTATCCATGTTCCTTACAATATCCTGGGAGGGTGTCAAGGATGACCGCAAGTTGACATATGCTGTCATAAGCTCTGACTCAGAATCTTCTACCGTCTCTATTATTTCACTCAAATTCTCCTTTATGCTTTCTTGTTTTAGCTTTCTGCGAATGTCTTTGATGTATGCTTTCCACCTCTCATATATTCGGACAAACTTTTTTCCTTTCAGTGCTGCCTCTTGCTCCAAATTTTCTAGCACCTTTTGGGTCGGTTTTCTGTCCCGTGATGAACGTCTTAGTTCACCTGTTTCAGCTATATTTGTTTGGGGCGAGACTACCGTTACATTGCACCTTTCAGATTCAGACAGGTTCTCTTGCTCTTCACCTTCTACCATATCTATCATTGCATCTGCTAACAGTGGGGTGGCAATGCTAGGCTCAGCCATTTCTGAATGCTATAACAATTAATATGAATAATAAGACCTGTCTCTTTAAATGCAATACTACCAAATGCAAGAATAAATGACTTTCACTTTACATGTAATAGCACCAAAATGCAGGCAATAAATGACTTTCACTTTAAATACATCAGAATCATATACTATAACTGTCTCTTTTTATTAAAAGTCTGTATTCTCTTGAGCACAAAAATGTCTCTTGCAAAAACCTATGTGCGTAAGTGAGTAATAAAGGAAAGCTCTGACCTTAATTGAAAAGCAGGATACCGTGATCTGAAGGTTGCAGAAAATGTCAGTCTTAAAGGAGACTTTTCTTGATGCGGTGACTTGCGATGCTCTGCGGTGACTTTGCAATGCTCTGCGGTGACTTTGCGATGCTCTGCGGTGACTTTGCAATGCTCTGCGGTGACTTGCGATGCTCTGCGTGAACTCTCTGAATGCAACAACGTGGTCTCTTGATGGATAGCGGTGCGGGCACTCTAGCTCTGGACTCTGGCCCTCCCCCCATGCATCTCTTTCTCTCTCTAGGGGTGCAGGAAGTTTGGCGCTCTTCTCTCTGACTGTCTTGCCTTTGCTGTTATGCCACTTTAAGAATCGTCTGCAGTCTGACTAATGCGCATATGCTATGGCCTGTACTGTTTTCCGCTGAGGTGTCTCCGCGTGACGGTATATGCTGGCGCTCTATTTCTCTAGTGTACTCTTTACTGTGCAAGTTGAGGAGCGCTGTTGCTTGACCTCTGAGGGTGATAGTTCCACTGTGGCAGGCGCAGCACCCTTTGGTGCCTGGTGCGCTGTGGCATTAGAAAAATTATGCAATTGCTGTTTCTTTGTTTGATTAGACTGACTTTACTCTGTAATTCCTCCAATGCCGCTCTATGGATGCAGTAGGTTTAAAGAGCACACCGAATACTTTAGTTAACTTCTTTAATAACTTCAATCTTCTTCATATAACTGCTTACAATGGCTTGTTTCATTTATCATACAGTAGCTTTAGAGTTTCTTTCATATTACAGTGGTTTGATTTGATAGCTTATCTCGATAGGTTCAATAGATTCAATAAATTTGTTCTGTATATTTCGATAGATTGATAAATTCACTTGGATTTATAAATTCGTTAGATTACTCTACAGTGACTTGATTCGTAAGTTCGGTGGAACTACAAGTAAACACATACAACAGTTTTTAGACACAGATCTACCTGCATTACTAAACAACAGAGGAACACACAAGTGCATTAAATACCTATTTGGCCTTCTCTGCTTCCATAAAGCTTTTCTGATTGGAACTTTGTCTGTTTCCTCTTCTGTCTGGTGAGCATGTGTCTCTAGAAAATCCTAGCAGGGAGTTTTACACAGGCACAAATGTGAAACTGGCTGGGATTGGTTAAGGCTCTGTTCAGTGGGAGGCTGTCTGTGATTGGCTGACCTTTAACTAAATCTTAAAGGCATATTTTCCTTTTCTGCTTCTGCTAACACAATTAATATAAAAATGTCATATAACAATCAAAGACATAAATTACAGCAATGATTCTGCTTTTGGCTTTAACATATGCACATATACACTGTACTGAGGTTATTGGCAGGTTTGGTATACACATATATGTGAACCACATTAGCAACCTAGGACTGGTCTTAGCTGGCCAGCTACATGCAGACTGCTTCTACAAACATTTGTGAAAGAATGGCTCGCTCTCAGGAGCTCAGTGAATTCAAGCGTGGTACCATGATAGGTTGCCACCTGTGCAATAAGTCCATCCATTAAATTTCCTCTCTATAACAAAGTGGAAGCAACTGGGAACAACAGCAACTCCACAAAGTGGTAGTCCACGTAAAATGACAGAGTGGAGTCAGTGCATACTGAAGCAAACAGTGCGCAGAAGTTGTCAACTGTCTGCAGAGTGAAGAGCTAAAGACTTCCAAACTTTGTGTGACCTTCAGATTAGCACAACAGTGCGTAGAGAGCTTCATGGAATAGGTTTCCATGGACAAGCAGCTGCAACCAGCCATACACCACCAAGTGCAATGCAAAGCGCCGGATGCAGTGGTGTAAAAGACGCTGCCACTGGGCTCTAGAGCAGTGAAGACATGTTCTCTGGAGTGACGAATCCCACTTCTTTGTCTGGCAATCTGATGGTCATGTCTGGGTTTGGTGGTTGCTAGGAGAATGGTACTTGCCTGACTACATTGTGCCAAGTGTAAAGTTTGGTGGAAGGGGGGGGGGGTTATGGTGTGGTGTTGTTTTTCAGGGGTTGGGCTTGGCCCCCTATTTCCAGTAAAGGGAACTCTTAAGGCATCAGCATACCAAGACATTTTGGACATTTTTGTGCTCCCAACTTTGTGGGAACAGTTTGAGGATGGCCCTTCCTGTTCCAACATGACTGTATACCAGTGAACAAAGCAAGGTCCACAAAGGCAAGGATGAGGGAGTTTGGGGTGGAGGAACTTGACTGACCTCAACCCAATAGAATGCCTTTGGAATGAAATAGAGCGGAGACTGCAAACCAGGCCTTCTCATCTGACATCAATGCCTGACCTAACAAATGTGCTTCTGGAAAAATGGTCAAACATTCCCATAGACACACTCCTAAACCTATAGTTGCAAAGGGTGGGCCAACTCAATATTGAACCCTACGGACTAAGACTGGGATGCCAGCTCATGTGTGTGTAAAGGCAGGCGACCCAATACTTTTGGCAATATAGTGTATCTGTATTATCTGTTAGGGCTGATAAATAAATCCAGTCATGTGATGTGAGGGGTCTTCTTCCTCATCAGTGGTGAACGATCATGAATATTGCAGAAAACGTGTTCATATAAGGTAGTGGTGTCATTCTCTGCAGTATTTTCCTGTGAGTCCAGGGCAGATTGATGACACACTCCCTGATGGCCTGCGCTCATGAGGAATGGGTGGAGTTATGTTATAAATTTAGGCTATTTATGTACCTCCTGAAGCCTGACTGGAATATTCCCAGGACATTGCTAAGGCCTAGTCGTTACTGGTCACCTCCACCATCACAGAAGTGAGCTCTCAAATGCTGAGCTCAGAGCTACTGCATCAGGGGATACAAAGCACGTGTGAGGGGGTTTGAATCCTAGAAAAAGCTCACTTGTGCAATGGTGGAGGTAAGCAGTAACGACTAGGCCTCACTTAGCAACGTCCTGGGAGTATTCCAGTCAGGCTTTGGAAGGTATGTAAATGGCCTACACCTATAGGAAGAATTATTAAACCTTATATACATAGGCAGTTTTTTGTAAAGATGAACTAACCCTTTACCTATAAATATTTTTAGTGGTTGAAAGGCAGGTAAGGGGAAAACAGGAAGAGTATGGTAAGAGTGAGATTGACTGCCCAGGGACAGATTTACCATTAGGAGGGAAGGCTGTGCTTATACACCGATCAGCCATAACATTATGGCCACCCACCATATCGTGTCGAGGCATGAACTCCACTTCTGACCTCCATACCTAAAAGGGATGTTGTGGTATCTGGCACCAAGCCTTCAGTAGCAGATTCTTTAACCTCTTCACGCCGACTGCACACAAATGTGCGGCCTCCTGGTGTCTGGGCCTAGACGCCGAGCAGCCGCATATTTGTGTGCAATTAAGAAAAACATGTTCTGAGAGCGCGCGCCCTGCGCGCTCCCATCACACATGCCTGGTACTCACGGAAAGGTCCCGATCTCCTCTTTCGATCGGGACCTTTCCCGATCATGTGACCGCAGTGACGGCGAATCACAAGACCCTAAAACCCTGCTTCTCCTCCCGACTTCTGAAACCCTTAAAGGGCCGGGAGGCGGCGGCGCCAAAGGGTTAGGTGCTGTAAGTTACAAGGTGGGGCTTCCATGGATCAAGCTTGCTTTTCCAGCACATCTCACAGATGCTTGATTGGATTGAGATCTGGAGGCCAAGTCAACACCTCAAACTTGTTGAGTTCCTCAAACCATTCTTGAATTCATCAGACCAGGCCATCTTCTTCCATTGCTCTTTGGTCCAGTTCTGATGCTCATGTGCCCATTGTAGGTGCTTTTGGCTGTGGACACGGGTCAACATGGGCACCTTCACTGGTCTGCGGCTACATAGCCTCACATGCAACAAACTGCGATGCACTTTGTGTTCTGACACCTTTCTATTGGAACCAGCATTAACTTTTTCAGCAATATGAGCTACAATAGCTCTCCTATTGGATTAGACTACATGGGTCAGCATTCACTCCCCACGAATGAGCTTTAGCCATCCATAAGCCTGTTGCAGATTTACTGTTTTTTTTTTTTTCCGTGAACCACTTTTGGTAGGTCTTGATCACTGCAAACCGAGAACATCCCACAAAAGCTGCAGTTTTGGAGCTGCTCTAACCCAGTGGTTTAATCGTTACAATTTGGCCCTCGTCAAAGTCGCTCAAATCCTTAGGCTTGCCCATTTTTTCTGCTTTTACTGTGCTGCCCCAAAGTAGTGCCCTACAGTATATTCCATGGCACAGAGATATAGTGCAGAATGTTCTGCGTGGTGATAACAGGCATCCTAAGGGTTTCCCACTATACATGACTCTATGATCTCCAGTATATATAGTCCATCATATGGAGCATGCTGTATCCTGTACACTGTGATTACAGGCACCCAATAACACTCTCTCCAGTATATGTACCCCTCATACACAGAGCACCGTGCTGACTGTTCGCACTCCCCAGTATACAGAGGTCTACTATAGATCAGTGTTCTATGTACCGTGATCGCACTCCCCAGTGTACAGAGGTCTACCATAGATCAGTGCTCTATGTACCGTGATCGCACTCCCCAGTGTACAGAGGTCTACCATAGATCAGTGCTCTATGTACCGTGATCGCAATCCCCAGTGTACAGAGGTCTACCATAGATCAGTGCTCTATGTACCGTGATTGCACTCCCCAGTGTACAGAGGTCTACCATAGATCAGTGCTCTATGTACCGTGATCGCAATCCCCAGTATACAGAGGTCTACCATAGATCAGTGCTCTATGTACCGTGATCACAATCCCCAGTATATAGAGGTCTATCATAGATCAGTGCTCTATGTACCGTGATCGCACTCCCCAGTGTACACAAGTCTACTATAGATCAGTGCTATATGTCCCATGATCACAATCCCCAGTATATAGAGGTCTACTATAGATCAGTGCTCTATGTACCGTGATCGCAATCCCCAGTGTACAGAGGTCTACCATAGATCAGCACTCTATGTACCATGATCACACTCCCCAGTATATAGAGGTCTACCATAGATCAGCGCTCTATGTACCGTGATCACACTCCCCAGTATACAGAGAGGTACCATAGATCAGTGCTCTATGTACCGTGATTGCAATCCCCAGTATATAGAGGTCTACCTTAGATCAGCGCTCTATGTACTGTGATCGCACTCCCCAGTATACAGAGGTCTACTATAGATCAGTGCTCTATGTACCGTGATCACACTCCGCAGTATACAGAGGTCTATCATAGATCAGTGCTCTAGTCAGGGGCGTATCTCGAGCCAGTGCTCTATGTAGTGATCACACTCTCTGATATAGAGATCTGTGTACAGATATTACACTCCCTGGTTACAGATCTGTGTACGGCGATCACGCTCCCCGTTATATGGATCTGTGTACAGCGATCACGCTCCCCGATATACGGATCTGTGTACGGCGATCACGCTCCCCGATATACGGATCTGTGTACGGCGATCACGCTCCCCGATATACGGATCTGTGTACGGCATTCACACTCCTCGGTTACAGATCTGTGTATGGCGATCACACTCCCCGGTTACAGATCTATGTAGGGCGATCACACTCCCCGGTATACGGATCTGTGTAAGGCAATCACACTAACCTCCTAGATTGTAAGCTCGAAAGAGCAGGGCCCTCGATCCCCTCATGTTTTGCATTGTATTGGTATTGTTCTGTCACATGTTCAGTCCCCCTTTGTAATGTACAGCACTGAGCGAACTATTGGCGCTTTATAAATACTGTATAATAATAATAACCGGTTACAGATCTGTGTACGGCAATCACACTCCCCGGTATATGGATCTGTGTACGGCGATCACACTCCCCGGTATACGGATCTGTGTACGGCGATCACACTCCCCGGTATACGGATCTGTGTACGGCGATCACACTCCTAGGTACACGGATCTGTGTACGGCGATCACACTCCCCGGTATACGGATCTGTGTACGGCGATCACACTCCCCGGTACACGGATCTGTGTACGGCGATCACACTCCCAGGTACACGGATCTGTGTACGGCGATCACACTCCCCGGTATACAGATCTGTGTACGGCGATCACACTCCCCGGTATACGGATCTGTGTACGGCGATCACACTCTATGTACGGCGATCACACTCCCCGGTATACGGATCTGTGTATGGCGATCACACTCTATGTACAGCGATCACACTCCCCGGTAAACGGATCTGTGTACGGCGTTCACACTCCCCGGTATACGGATCTGTGTACGGCGATCACACTCTATGTACGGCGATCACACTCCCCGGGGGATACGGATCTGTGTACGGCGATCACACTCCCCGGGATACGGGTCTGTGTACGGCGATCACATTCCCCGGTATACGGATCTGTGTACGGCGATCACACTCTATGTACGGCGATCACACTCCCCGGGATACGGATCTGTGTACGGCGATCACACTCCCTGGGATACGGATCTGTGTATGGCGATCACACTCTATGTACGCCGATCACACTCCCCGGTACAGGGATCTGTATACAGCGATCACACTCTGTGTACAACAATCACACTCATGAGGTCACCATGAACAGGATTGCTATAGCAGGCCATGGTACATTGTATACATAATAATGCCATGGGACGGTGTAATAATACTTTTTTTCTTTTTCTAAATACTGATCTGAGATCAATGGAGCAGGGACACACCGAGGGCATCATTTTACTGTAGAAGACCATAGCAGACTATGTACAGCGATCACACTCCCCGGTACACAGATCTGTGTATGGTGATCACACACCCCCGGTATACGGATCTGTGTACAGCGATCACACACTCCCCGGTATACGGATCTGTGTACGGTGATCACCCTATGTACGGCGATCACACTCCCCGGTATACGGATCTGTGTACGGTGATCACACTCTATGTACGGCGATCACACTCCCCGGTATACGGATCTGTGTACGGCGATCACACTCTATGTACGG